TAATTTATGTAGTGGGGAAAGCTGATGAGTGACAGCTCCTCCATGCAAGTAAGAGGTGTGCAGAAGTAAAAGCTTTCTGCAGTAGAAACAAAAGATATTCCTACCTAACCACTGAGCCTCTAAATTAAACTGAAATCAAGAGTTTAGGCGAGTTCAGCGTGTTCAGAGCAGTTATGGCATCGGCATTAACGGCGCTATCAAATCATCACATCGCAGGAAAAAATACGTATGTTTAACCAGCTTTTGTTAGCACTGGTTAAAAAGTAAACTCAAGAAATTCACAACATTTACAGGATCAGAGAAGTCACACCGCAGGCAGCACAGCAAGCTACTGGGTGCTGAGCAGGTGTGCCCCTCTCCTCTGCATACAGACCTGCTAAATACCCTCCACAGAACTTCTCTTATTCCACTGTTTCAGCTATATAAGCTGCCAAGTTCACCTCAGAGTGGTGTTTTTTCGTGGTGTTTTTAAAATTTCAAGCGACAAGTCTTAAAATGCCTTTTGCATTAGAAAGCACAAGTGGATTTATAAAGAACAGGAACCAACAGCTTTGGAAATGTGTGTAGCCTCAAGAACACCTGTAATTACTGCAGCACAGCCAAGCAGTTATTGAATGCCTTACCTTTACCTTGCTGCAAGCATATGACAAAACATCCAGTGATTAACTCTTGAAATAATATTCGATTCCAATATCAAAGCCTGCAGATGTTACCATTTTTTTCTACCAGATGACAAAATACATGTCTTAGAGGCAAACCTACCTATTAGCAAGGACAACCTAAATAAGCTCTTGAACTGTCAAAACTCAGAGGAGTCATGACAATATCCCCATGAAAAAAAAACCCACACCCTCCTCAGAAGTCACCCAGTTGAACTTCAGCTACTTGCTGAAACTCAAGTCTTTAAACAGTAACTAGAAGTTGTTGTATGTACTTATTAGTCAGGAAGTGCACACTTCAGAAGCACCCTCAACAGCATTAATTTTTAAACGGATATGGAAGTGACCTAAAGCAGAATTTAAACAGCATCGTTAAAGCTCTCCTAATAATATGAGTTCTCCTCACAGAAAAATCGCAGCGTGATTTTATGCAAGAGTAACAATTTCATCTGACTGACGATCAAAACCGCAGTGTTTCAGAGACAAAACAGCCGTTACAGTCCTAAGAAAAGAAAGGAAGCCATGGAGTGTGCACAGCGTTGGACGTCGCACTAACTGCGGTGTGAGCCACAACAGGAGGATGCTTTCAGCAGGCTGGCGGTTAAGGTATGACACAGGAGAGCCGCGTTCGCTTTTAACAGCTCTGTCACTGCAACTCGTTTAAAAACTGAAGGAACAAACACTCACCCACATCCGTAAGCACTGCGAGTGTTTGCACACCCTCTACTAACGCTGTTCACAGCACCTCTGCTCCTCTACTAGCTTGAAAGGCAGAGAATACATCATGGCGTGTGCTCTCTTCACAAACACACCTTTAAATGCTCACTATTTTGTACTACTGGATTTTAAACTGCCTGCCTTACAGCCAAACCCAAACAGCATCCATATTAAACTCCCACACAGTCTACTCTAAACATCCACGGCACCCTGTAGCGGAGCACCCGGTGACACACATCTCGTGGCTATTAGGAACTCTCAACGCAGCACAAGCAGCTACAAGACACGGTGCTCTCCGCAGCTGTGCTTCGATTCTGCCTCAGTCCACCTTGGATGAACACACTGGAGAATCTCTAAACAAAAAGTTTGAGAAGAAATACACAAAGAGAAATTTAGAAAGAATAAAACCAGAAGGTTGATGCTCAAGCGTTCAAGACCGCTCTGATCCTACAAACTAAGGGTGACTTCAGTCATTTCTAACTCCCGGTTTGTTTGCTGGTAGCAAACACCTGCACAGCTTTCACGCTAGTTATGCAAATGTCAAAACAGGGCATTTGCTCTCCATCAAGAGACATTTGGGGGAGGAAAACAAGAGCATACAGAACAGGAAACAAAATGAATGCTAAATCTGGAAGACAGGAAGAAGGAAGCTTCAAGAACAACAGGGGAAAAAAAAAAAAAAGGGCAGAAAAAGTCAAGACAAAAGGATTATTCAGTACACCAGATTAGATTTTTAAAGGCATGCTTCCAAAACACTGCAGACTAACATTAGCCACAAACTTGCATGAGATCAAGAGCAAACCAGATTTTTTTTTTTTATAATATATATACATACATATACACACACTGCCTTGAGCCTATTTCCAGCGAGTACCAGATTCAGGTTATATTTGTTTCCTTCACACACTGCTGACAATCTCTCAGAAAGCTTCTCCCACACTTCAAATATTTGAATTTATTACTTCTTACAAAAGAAAACAATTAATCTTTTTCTTCAACTCGTAAAAAGGTGGGAAAATTTCTTAGGGTTATTCACCTTGAATTACTATACACATTTTAAAATCAAGAGGTATATTTATAGCAAAACCCCATTTAACTAAAATTCCAGATGAAACAAATTGCACTTCAAGCAATCAGGTTCCAAAAGCTTGCACGGCCACAACGGCTGATGCATTTAACAGCGTCACTTCAGCGTTAGCTGCACTCAAAGTGCCGCTCTTTGTGCGGATCTCTCTTGAACCGATACACAAATCATACACACCGAGTGCTCTAACCTCTTTCTTTTCCATGCCAAATCAGAGAACTGAGAAAGTCACCGTGCTCAGCATCAGGAAAGCAGCGTCTGATATTTCCCCTTTATGATACAACAGAATCCGCTGCTTCAAGCAATGGCAGCTGTAACGCGACCAGCCGGGATGTGACTCTGCTTTTATATTTACAAGTCTCACCACAGTTGCTGCCCTGGTAAGCTGTTTATTCATTAATGGTACAATTAGCGATTCCCCAAAGACTCCCAGCACCGCTGGGAGAAAGCAAGCCTCTACTGGAATCCCATCTAACAACAAGGATTTCCCCCACCCCCTTTTGTCAATTAGTTTGACTACAAACTGACTAGGATGATTAACTTCGTGGAATTATTTCTCTTTGCTTCTCTCTGAAAAAAAAAAAAACCACATGGGACTGGAGGTCCCTTGTTGGGACTTTTGATTGACGTAGCCATCATTCACTCGTCGGATGTTCCGTATTTATCACGGACAGATGACAACACACGCACAGTTAACTGGAAGGATACCACAGAAATTTTAAAGGGTTTCATATACCCCTTTTAAGCCTACTTCTGGTGGCAATAGTACATGTTCTAGAAAATAACATCAATTCTGTTATATGGGAGCAACACACAAAATTATTTTCAAGATAAAATATTTTAAGAGCAAGCCGCTGCAGCGTAAAAATCACTCAGTCTTGAATGATAATCCATGTTGTTTATATCTCCAAGGGTGAGACGAGAAAACGTCCAGTTCCAGCAGAAAATTCAGAGATTAATTTTAATCAGTTTAATCAATTTATTCACAGCAAAAAGCGTTTTTCATACTACTGGTCATTTTGATCCGACTGAAGGCTAAAGAAGTGCAATTTTCTATTAAGTGTCACGTCATCCTCAAAACTTCTCAGGCTAATGAACTCTTTTCTCCCCTTACTTGTCACATCCATTATTGCCTCGAACAGTTTCGGAAAATTCCAGCTAGCAGCATCTCCCACACCCCATTTCTCACCTTGCAAGGAGTCAATTCTGCCTGTAACAACCCCATTCTCTCAAGGCAGATATAATATTACATCTATCTTTTGAGCTCACACATTCCATCAAGCCCAATTCCTGAAGGCCTCATACAACAGATAACCAAATATCTAAAAGCAGCAAGCGTACCCCATGAAGATGCCATATTTACACTCCCCAAATCCTGTCTCAGACTCTAAGGGCCAGTTTTATCTCACAAAGAAACAACGCTAAACAACAATGCAGGAAAAAACTTCCATTTCTTAATTCATTCTTCCACACCGTTGGTGAAAAATAAAAACAGCATTAAAAACGCCTTCTGGAGCTACTATCACAGTCTTCTGTTGATGTTGAATATTACAGAATACGCCTCAGAGTTCAATATAATACCAGAAACATGTGCCAACACTTCTCCACACACCCACATCCCTCCCCCTGTCCACTCCCCCCCGCAACTAATTCAAGCAAGTAGTTGCCGGGGTGTTAACCACATATTCTCCCCAGAGCAATTATGTTCAGCCACTGAGTGGTTATTACTTTTTTCCACTGGTTGTTTCTTTTTTTTTTTTTCTGGGTTTTGGGTTTTTTTTTTGGTTGGTTGCTTTTCTTAATCCGGCACCTACTCCAAAATCCTGAAATGAGTTTAGAGTTACAAATGTATGCTGTATGTCTGTTAGAGCTGCTGCTAAGATGCGTTAGGAATTGCTGTTCACCTTGAAGATGTCCCTTGCTCTCAGCTATGCCTTCTGAACAGAACGAAAGAAGAGTTCACAAGCGTGGTCCCCTCATCTACCTTAAACATGAAGTTTCCAAGATATGAAAGTTACGGGGTTTTAGTAAGATGTTTCATTTCCACAAAACGAGGATGTTTCTCCCCCACCACCAGAAATACTGAGCAGTTTGTTTCCAGAAAAAGGAAGAGTTCTGTAAAGCCTCAGGACAAATTACAACAAGTTTTAGTCTGTTTTGCTATGTAACAAAATACTCTATTGTTTCCCGAAATTGCGAGAAAAGTCATTCCGAACCGTACCATCCTCTCTCACAAGGCATTTTCTATGTGAGAATGCAAAATGCTGCAAAATCTTTTCATAGCAGACTTTATTATTTATGTTAACCTAGCATACCTGAACTACACAACAACTAAGGCTCTACAGGCTCTGAGCACTTAACCTGTTCACAGATTTCAATGTATCCAAGTATAGTTTACTTGAAACTCTACACCTATGACTTTTAAATCTCTTCAAAGTCTGTTTCCATGTACAGACAACACATCAACCAGCAGACATTCATTCAAGCTCTTATTCACTAGAGCAAAATTATAAATATTTGAAAACATTTCTCCCCGTTACCTAGGCTGAGAGTTCTCCTCATACATCCGCTCTTTCCCTTCCTTGAAAAGGCTGATGGTCTGCTTCGTTTTCTTCATCAAGTTCTCCATGAAGACACGGAAATACTCGTTTTCTCCTAGGGTCTCCATCTTCCCCTCATAGCGCGACAGGATGGTTCGTAGATGCTGGTAGGTATCAGGGAGCAGATCGAGGATATAGGGTGGGCTGTTCTTCAATGCCAGCTTTGGGTTCTGACACAAACGCACCACCTACGGTTAATGAAGAAAATACCACCTTGAAAATTTAAAGCTAGCAACTTGTGATCAGCGACTTAAACACCATTCAGTGTTAGTTACAAACACAATACAATGAAGCGTTCGCTCTCCACAAACCCCATTCGTTACTCAAGTCAAGATAGGGAGCCCAGCCACCGTAAAAGAATTGAGTTTATGCACCAAACGGCACGCGGACTGACAAAACTCCCAACACACATACAATTATATTTCGTGAGGCTGCGTTTCACCTCAAGTGCATTTTCAAAAACAAAGTTCAAGAAAATTCACTATGGAGTTTGCAAATGGCAAGGATGTAACTTAACCACGTATGCGTCTAGTACTTCCTGATGCATTTCAGACTCTGAACGTGCCCACAGGCAGACCTTTACCCATCTAGCTGCCCTGATTTTGGCTGCAAATGTGACTCTTCACACTGACCCATATATCTGGGACGACAAATAAGCCCACAGAGGAAGTGCCACTGTTACAGATACGACTGATGCTAGTGAGTGTTCCCAAGTTCAAAGTTTTCTGAAGGCAACAGTGGTGGAAGAATCTCCTTTTCTTCCTCCTTCAGTACATACAGCAAGTAAGAGGAACAACAGCTTTTATGGATAATGACGACTATCAAGAAAAAAAAGAATGCAAAGGAATTTTTCTGTACAAGAACGAGAAATAAGCTGTAGCATAATAGATACGGTAGGAGAAGTCTGGATAAAAGTTTAGTTCGCAAGAACTTGTGTCCCCAGTTATGCATCAACTTTGCTTCTCTAACTTCTCTTAGATGAATCTCATAACAAAACTAGATTATTCACAATAATTTCTGTGGGTTTGGGGTTTTTTTTTTCTTTCTTTAATAACGCCACATCCATAGTAACACTAGTAATTACATTAAAAGATAATCAGATGACTTCAACCTGTCTTCTGCTTGGCACACAACTAAACATCTCATTGTTTCTCCTTCCAAGCCACATGTGATCTTATTTGTATTTTTAGCAGCAAGCTCACATATTCTCAAAGTTAAGAGCTTGACCCTATCAACCCAAATTTTTGCCATCTATAGTAAGTTTATTGGTTCGTCGATAAAATAATTTTAGGCACTTTTGCATCATGTAGTTAAGGCACAAGCGGCGAGTAGAATATGCCCGTTCAGAATTTGCAAGCAATACAACTGTTATACCTGTACACAAACAAACCAGAATTCAAGCTCAACTTAATATAGGTCTTTAACATACAGGAGCTAAGAGCTTACATGCCAAAAGCTCATGATAATGTTTATGTGATAGGAGAGGATATAGGAAGCCACTTCACCATCCACCGTAGCTAAAATTTCCCATTATCCGAGAGAATGATAGGGAGAGTTAATGGCAAAGTGGCAATTCGAAAAATTAGCAGTGCACAGTCAGTTATAAAAAGAGCTGAAACTCTAGAGTGATGCCAGTTTCAGATGAACTTTAAAAGCTAAGGACCAGCAGCTGGGATAGTCTTACTGCTGTCTTGCTGGCTAACAGCTTCCATCTTCTTCAATTTACATCAAACTTGAGAAGGCGGCCGGTACAAAACACAGATACAGTTTCCTAAAGTTCTTCACTACTGTGAATGTTTATCTGACTGCTTAATACCCTGAGTACAAGGGTATTACAGGTACCACACAATGTAGTGCTGCAGAAGGGAAAGCTTAAGGGCAGTGAAGAGTAAAAGATAAAGGAAAATTTAACATCCTTTTGCAGTACATTTCCATAAAATCTTGTGAAAACCTTTGAGAGGAATCAACACAATAGCTGCTTCCCTTAAACACTTAAAAGTTGATGGTAAATGAAGTAATTTATTCTGAAACAGTGCTTTAGTATTTAACTTTGCCATTCAGGGTATATGCAAAAAGCAGCCTTGTCAAGTGAAGTGACACCTCCAATTATATCTGACTTAGAGTAGTGCCTCTATTAAGAGCTGACTAAGACTCCATTTCAGTGAGGAGAAAGGCATCCAGTGTATCACTACTCAAACAGGAGAATCTGACAGCCATTAAAAGAATCACATGCCTAAAAAAAAAAAGCCTCTGTAGGAATACACGGAAAAAAAAACTACCAAAATTTTCCCTCCACTTTGAAGACGCTGCCAAGGATTAGGAGGTCTAGATGAGGAGATGGATGGTCAGACAACTGATTTATCCAACTGATTCTGATGCCTCAACTGCTGCTTCCTTGGAGCCTGCAAACATTGTACAATGAATCGTATCAACAATTTGAGTCAATTTGCCCCCCGAATAAAACTAGTTTCGCTATGGGGCATGAAGAGGTTCTAAATATGCTTCTCGGACACAGCTGAATTGTGCTACGGTTAGCAATGTCTTTTCTTCAACAGGAATTGTTTATTACAGTGGGTTTAAAATCCTAATAAAAACAGTTAGCTCTTACGAAGAAGCCCCATTAAGCAAACATACAAGTCAGGGGATACACGTCTCTCAGTCATTTGTAATAGAAAACAGTTTGGCTGTTACCCCCTGAAAATACCCAGCTATAGAAGAGGCAGACCCGCCGTGTTTCAGTACTGTAACAAACTCCAATACCAGTTAGAAAGATTTCCCCACACCAGAAGCAAGTTCTGCAAACCACCCATTCTCACAGCCTCTATAAAACATTTCCCAAGAAGTGACTTGCAAAGATACCTCAAATAGTTAACAGAAGGGCCAAAACCGCCGTGATTTTATTATCAAATGAGCTTCTTTATTTACCAAGTAGGCCAAAATTAGCTAAGATAAGCATTTAAACAAATGCTGCCTAACTAGGAACCATTGCCCCTTGAGCAAACTTGGTCGTTTTATAACACAGCAGCAACAAAAACAGTTGCCTTTCGCTTGTTTCTCTACGTGTGCACTTGCAGCATCATGACAACATCAGAAGGAATGTTCCCAGCCCTGGGAACAGCCGCCCCTCAGCCAGCTACCCTGCCTTCCACTGGGACCAGCAACGTGGAAGGAAATGGAGCAAAAAGCAGCAAATAATTTCAATTAGGTGTGATAGCAACAGACACAAGCAATCCAGATTTTTAAACTGCCGTTCAAACTCCTACAAGTTGGTCTGGCTTATGCTTCGTTCTCTCGGAACGAGCCTTTTACAGAGACATTTGCGCAGCTTCGGAAACATCCGGAAAGCATTTCAAGCTTAGCATGAAGATTCTAAGAGATTGGTCTGTGAAGAACCTAAAAACTGACTTGTGTCAATTTACATTTTTCAAACTCAAGAGGAGAGAAAAAAGTAATTAAAAAACAGTCTCCCTCCTCAGTTTTCAAAAAAGACATCTATCCAAAGAAAAAAAAAAAAAATCATATAGATTTTCGAGGCCTGGAACTGAGTCTTTTCCTTCATGATTCTGCAGCTTGCCTTGACCTCTGGATTTACAACATTTCTCTTCAGCATTTCGTTAGACTTGCACAAATAAAGGAACCGGGTAATTAACGTAGGAAAGCAGCAGCACAATACAGAGCACTGTCACAGGCACAATGTATAGATAACCTGAGAAATACAGCAAGAACCATGAGGTTTTTTTAAATACCATCAGGTTGCATAGCTAAATTAAGTACATGTTGGTAGAAGCAAGGAGGAAGCATTCAGGAAAAATGAGATACCTACGCGAAGGCGCTCACTTAACAAGACACAACATTTGTTCGGAAGGGCAGAGGGCTGTGTAACAGAGGACACAAACCTATAGGAATTGTGGCCGCTCAAGACAGACTCACCAGCTGCTACACTAGCAGGCAGTGTCCTCCAACGCACCCTTAATCCCCCCCTCTGCTCCTGTCTGCCTGTCCCGTCCTCCCGATTCATTACTTTCCCGCTTTGCCCATCTCCAGCTCTACACACAAAAACTGTAGCACCAGCCTGTTTGCTGCAGCCATGGATACAGCACCCCATTTCTTGTTCTGGCAGAACGTCCCCAGCACAGACACTACTCACCTGCTAGCCTCAGTTGGCAACAGCGTCACAGAGTTCCAGATCACAGTTTTTCCCTTCCAGCTCAGACCCCTCCAAAGCTCTTTCCTCCCTGTCAGAGGTAAGTAGCTGACTTCTGTATTGAAATCACATCTCGTGTCACCTTAAGCTAACAGCAAAGGAAAACCTACTCAAACTTCTCTTATCTCCTGCTGAATTTGCATTTGGCCCCTCTTCTACTGACAATAAAGGTGACCTATGGTGGCATTTCTCTGTATCAGTTTTAGAAACTGAATGGCATCAGTACGCTGTTTGGAGAAACTTCATCTCAAAGCTCATCTTCCTCCTCCACGTCTTACTAAACGTACTCTACCATTCTCCTGCTACATCTCTTACACCTCACTCCGAGCAGTTCATGACTACACCACCTATTCTTCCAACACCACTTGAGTTCATGGCTGTGGGTGGTCTGCACTATCTGCTGCCCTGATTTGCAAGAGCTGGTTCGTTATCGCATCCTTTTGTGGGAAAAAAAAAAAAAAAAACCAACCAACAAATTGTTTTCACCAGCCAATAATCCAACATACGCTTTCTTATACTATACTAAACATTGCTTTATTTGCTGAAGACCACTAGTGATGAGCAAGCATAATAATAATAATAATAATAAAAAAAAAATTAACAGCAGTTCCTCCCACTTGAACCAATCTAATACACTTTACTAGGTTCAAGACACTGCAAGGAAATTGCTATGTTGCTTTCTATGCTATTGTCACTGCAGGCTCACAAGAAGTCTACCAGCACATTCAGCTTCCAAAGACAAACGTAACCTCTATTCTGTAGATCAATGCGTAAACGCCACCTAATTCAGCTGAAGGTGAACATCCTGCTGCACAGCGATGAAAAGGGCTATTTTATGTCCATGCTATATGTGACCACGTGCAACTGCCGGAGGAACAGTTAGTGCTGACAAAAAAAAATTAGAACATCAAGTGAAAGGATCGGAAAGACAGGAATACATCAGGCAGCTTATGGAGAAGATTATGGGGGAAATATTTGGACAAGAATCAACTAGCATAGGAAATTAATCAGTCACATCCGAAAACAGGGATGCACGAACGCTTTGACAACACCAGCTAATTATGCAGACTAATGTGAATGTACTGTACGCACACAGATACAGTACACATTTCTGAAAGGCAAACACATCATCTATTAAACATGCACACAACAAGTTTGGGTTTGTTTTTTTTTTAAATCTGCACCTGTAATTTCATTTACTTGGCCCAGAAAACCAACCCATGTTCCACATCTTCCATTCACACAGCCCTTCTCACCACTGGTTTCACAAGCACCGTGTTTGCCTGGCAATTTGCTACGCTACTAAAAAGACTTTTAATCCAGATGTGTTCTCATAAGCGTACAAAAGTACAACGAAAGCCTAACTGAAATCTGAAAGGCTTTTCACAGTCAAATCTTTCCTCCTGTACAAATGAGACTGAAGAACTAACCCTAAGACTTTAAAAATTAAGCCTACACCTAAGAGCTTTTGGATGCTGCCTACATGCAAAACTGTGAAGTCAATGCACACTTATAAGAGGTTACTTAAGAGTAGCTTTGGCTTTTCTGCCCGTGATATCACAGCGGAGAGGGTATATGGCCGAAGACTGGCTATGCTGATCTGAAGGTGTGGACGTATCCCCCCTCCACCGCAAAACATCCATCCCACTGCAATTCTAAATGTCAAAGTAATCAAAGACTTCTTTTTAGGCCAACCTCTTCCTTTGAGCAGGCCAGGTTATGAGGTCAAACACAGGCTGACACTTCTAGATCCTGTGCACGAGAATGAAGACGTGCATTCTTACAAGCTCTATCTGCAAGTTAAACTTATTTCTAAGGGGATCACGTTTCCGTGCTCAAACTACCTTTCCCACACTAGCGCTTACACTTGCCCTCAGTGTTTGCAAGAAAACCACTGGCACTTTTCAAAAGACTTTTTTCTTTATCCCAACCTCTCTCTGTAGAAGGTGATCAAAGCTCATCACAAGCCCAGCAAGGCACAGCTATAAACCACGTCTTTTGTGGAGCCAGCCAACACAAAGTGATTTCTTGGCATGAACATAATTTAGTATGTCTTTAAAAAAGTCATCTACTCTGCCCGCTTTAGCATTTACTGCAGGAGTTTCAGACACTGCATGCATAAACAATGCAGGGAAAAGAGAAAGAAAAGTTGAAATGCATAAGCCTGCAGGGCAATTGGATGAGGTCTGCCCATCAGCCCTGCCTGCCCTGCTCCCAGAGGGGAGGAAGGTGGCAAGGTGACGCTTCCCAAGGACTGCAGGCAACTTCAGCCTTGCCCTTACTCTGCACTACTTTTAGGTCCCTGAACCCAGCCTTACAAAATGCACTTCCCATTTTAGACTCCAACATGTCAAGCCTAGCCTCGATTCTCAGGGCTGAGCAGTAATAAAAACGCAGGATCAATCAAAATCCCAAGAAAAATGTCAGGTTTATTTTATGCCCAGGTGTGGACATCTATGCTCCCTGACTGGGACATTCTATAAATAACACAAGCATTCACTAACAACTCACCAGAATTTCTTAAAGCAATGGATTTGCCAACACACCTAGCCAGGCTAGTAAACCAGCTGCCATACCCCACCACACCATCAGGCCAAAAGGTCTGGTGTCCTGTCCCCAGCAACAGCCATTTCCTGGCATTTTAAAGGGTGGAAGAGTCTTAATGCCCCCACAGCGCAGTGTCCCACATAAAGGCATGGAACTGTAAGACAGTCTTTCCAGCTCCCGCACCACGGGTTTCTGGTGTTTAATATTAGATTTCGTACTCCTTGTTTTTGTGGAACTACATGCATTTATTGCAGAGGAGTTTATTCAGACTTTTAGGCTTTTTACCAGGCTCCCAGTTTTGAAGAAAAGGCTTTGTGCTGAGCCCGGTTAACGTGCCCCTATTCCTTAAAAAAAAAAAAAAAAAAAAAAAAAAAAAAAAAAAAAAAAAAAAAAAAAAAAAAAAAATCTGGACTGCCACAAAGCAGCAGTTCAGCCTCACCATCCAGTACCTACACACCAGGTCCTATCATAGGGCAAGCCTTACCTTCTGGACAAGAGGGAATGGCCTCAAATTGCATCATGGAAGGTTTAGACTAGATATTAGGAAGCATTTCTTTACAGAACGGGTCGTTAGTTGTTGGAACGGGCTGCCCAGGGAGGTGGTGGAGTCCCCATCCCTGGAGGGGTTGACGAGTTGGGTTGACCTAGCACTGAGGGATATGCTGTAGTTGGGAACTGTCAGTGTGAGGTCAGTGGTTGGACTGGACAATCTTCAAGGTCTTTCCCAACCTCGATGGTTCTGTGATTCTGACCAGCAAACCCTCGATTCCTTCCTCGTGCAGTTATACACAGGTGGGACTTACTGATGACCCCACCAGGATGGACGTGCAGCTCCCCACCAAGCCCTACCCTTACCCACCCTCTCCAGCACCAGCAATGCCCCCCACCCCCCCAACATCTACAAAAAAACGACGGCACAAATCCCAGATCCTCTTCAGCAGGTCTGCATCCTCCACCCCAAATCTTCTCTCCACACGCAGCCCTGCACGCAGCTCATCCCCGGCAGAGCCGCTGCTCTCCCTCGGCACCTTCCAACCTTCCCATCCCACTCCCATCCTGCCTCCGGCCTCTCCTGCGCCCCACATCTCCCCCCCAAAGCGCTGCACCCTATCCTGCATCCAAACAGGCCTCAATCCCTCTGAACGCTTCACCCCTGCCCCACCCCGAGCCATCGAGCGCTCTTCTCCCTCGGCCAAACCCTGCAGTCCCTGGCCTACCCTCCCCCCCGGAGCCCCCTC